CTTACAACAGTCAGTTGTATCACTACTGATAAACTATGTATACTTATAACTGTCAGTTGTATCACTACTGATAAACTATGAATACTTATAACAGTCAGTTGTATCCCTGCTGATAAACTATGTATACTTACAATCAGTAGTGATACAACTGACTGTGTGATACAACTGACTGTTATAAGTATACATAGTTTTACTGATTAACTATGTATACTTATAACAGTCAGTTGTATCACTACTGATAAACAATGTATACTTATAACAGTCAGTTGTATCACTACTGATAAACTATGTATACTGATACATTTGAAATGGTGTAAAATATCTGTTTTTTTAGTCTGATACACAATTTACATTATAACATCTGAAGTTAAGTTTTGTCTATTTTCATTGGAGCTTATAGTAATTGACAACTCCAATTTTTATGTACTGATTTTAAGTAAAAGAAAAGGTAGCTATGGTAAACTAACCTTGTAGTTCTTACACTTTGTAAGTTTATGAGTAAGTATGTTTGAATTTTATTAAGACTGTTAAATGATAGTAAGCATTAGTGTTACTGTTGTGAGTACTGACAAAAATAGTTTTAAAATTTTCACTGTAGTGGTATAAAATGTAATATATTTTGTGTGTCCAAATCAAGGTTTTATAATATATTCTCATGCAATATAAATGGATACATATCTTTTAGTGTTTATGCCATTAGGGTTACTAAAAGATTTAACAGAGATGAAAAAGAACCATGCTCTTTGCCTAATGTTAATAGTTCTATTAGTTGTTACAGTCTAGCTGAACATAGATTTTTAATGGTGTTATTCAAAAAGAATTAATTCATAGCACTTATTATATAATTTAATAAAATCAAGTAAAAAAAACAACATGTGATGTTACTTATCAGCTTTTAGGCACTTGCATCCCCAGCTACAGTGTATCTAGTTGGATTTCTTCTCTCTAGTTTCCTTAACTTCATAAATAACTTGACTGTTTGAAAGGATATCTTTAATACTTGTTGAATATAAGATATATGGATGTTGTATAACAATTATTTCAAGTATGTAGAAAACTAGAGTGGTTTTGGAAAAGTTCGTCATAACCCGATAAGTTATTCATTCATATTTATAAAATATTGCTCAAGGAAGTAAAACTGAAAGGTGGTTGGCATATAGGCTTTTTTTTTTGTAAGATTTTAATGTAAAGAGTTATTTTAAAACATTATTTTGATGTAATCATTCTTGGTTTGTGTTCCGTTATAAACAATAAGCAGCGAAGTGGTTTGAAACGCAAGTCAGATGAGCTTGAAGAAGCAACTGGTCTACAACAACAAGTGTTACAGAATAAACGGATAGATAACAGAGTTACTACTCATCATCGCCACCAGGTGCATCCCAACATTCATCATAAAAGTGCACCTACTGCAGTAGCAGTGTCTATAACCTCAACAAAAAAATTCACAACAGCAAACACAACTATCACCACGGCGCCCGCAACATCAAAAAGTAACTCCTCCAATAGTGAGGGGGACTATCAACTTGTACAACATGAAGTTTTATATTCAACCACAAACCAGTATGAAGTGCTGGAGTTTTTGGGACGTGGGACATTTGGTCAGGTAAGCCCTTCATTTACTAAAGGGATTAGTGCTTGTCAAATCTTTATGTAAGAACTGTTGTCTGATTTCCAATTACTTTTTGTTACTTTAGAAAAAATCAGCTAAATTTTAATAGTTACATCAATCAGACAAAATCTTATCCACCAGTTAACATGTTAACTGCTGTGATGCTTGGTATCGTCTGTGGCAGTAGTTTAGTACAATATTGTTGTGTTTTCAACTTAAACAATAGCAATAATGACAAATGAAAAAACAGGCAATTTTAAATTTTTTTTTGTATTGAAGACACACCTGCACATTGCGAGCACATGTGAACGAATGCTAAACACACATGTGCATTCTCAGCAGTGCATGTGTTATACCATATATAAGTTTTAAAAAGAACTGGAAATGAGTAAGTAAGTTTGTAAGAGTTTTACATAGTGATATAAAAAGCATATTTTAAATGTAAGCAGTTACTCCAATCTTTAAATTGAGGTGGCTAAAACTATTTTAATGTAGTTTGCTTGCTCCAAGTTTGAAATTTATTTAACCAACCACCTGCTCCTTGAAATCAATTTTGCCTAACAAATTTATGAAAGCAAGCCTACTAAAGCATTTAGCCAATATTATGAGATGTTTACAGGAAATAGTCCATGTTGGAAGAAAGATAACGTAGCAGGCCATGAATTTCAGTTAGCTACTCCAAGCAGTTACTAAGACTTCCATCTGTAGTGCTAGTTATGAAGGACTGGATGATGTAATTTTAAGACCTCAAGTATCTTTAAAACATGTTTTTGGGGTAAAAGTGTGTTGAAAACAAACATATAATATATATATATATATATATATATA